TATCTGTCCCACCTCTGAAGAGTGTCAGTGACCATTTCATTGGCCTGGAATGAGTTTTTACAGCTGCTCTGCGTTTATTTGCTATAGAAATGCCAAGGACTACAACTGCCCAGCAGAGGCATTATCTTCTTCTTCTTGATTTTAGATTTTCCTATTTTGCTAAATGTGAGAGCGATCTATTGGGGTGGCATAGTAATGTTTTTGGCCAGTCATCTTCTCTTTAATTCAACAGAGATATGATATTTCAGGAGAGTGGGGACTTCTGGTAAGCATCTGCTTATAGAATACTGGGGAGGGAAATTCATTCTGGCTATATTTTCTCTAAAGGGTAGTTATCACTTCACCTTCTGAGGCATACGTGAGTCACTTTCCAGTGTGGTGCTCGTTTTCAGTTGAGTGTGGACTGCTATGGTGACTCTTCCCAGCAGACATTGAACCAGATGTGCCTGCTATTACAGAAGTGAAGTCTGACAGCTGCAGCCTAACCTTTAATATCTTTCTGCTATTTCAGCCACTTTAGACTTTTGAAGCCTTATTAGATATGAGCAATTTTTGCCCAAAGAAACAGGCTTCCTATTCCCAGTGATTGACAAGATACTGGTCAGCAGACAGTGATTAACAGTATGCTGTGATTCCCATTTTCCTCTGATGAGTATTGGTGGCAACAGACTAACAGCAGCTTTGTGCTATAGCACAGTCATTTGGTGTCACAGGGAGATAGAATTCCTTCTAGTTTTAGCTTTTATATGCTTGCACTTTACTGTGAAAGATGTTGAGTGCTCTTAACACCTTGATATTAAGGTTGCCAAAACTAAAGGGATAAGCCAAGCATACTTGCATGTTCCTCAGGACTCTTGTAGTGGCTGCACTTGGACTTTAGTTATTCTTTTTATTATTCTTTTATATTGTATATCCTTTTCAATTTTATATTGTATATCCTTTTGTTATTCTTTAACTTCATGTGACATTTCATGAAAGAAACTTCTCTTCAATCATCAAGTGTTTATTGAGCACCTACTGTGCCTGGATCTTTGTGCAGTATTGAAGACTTCTTAAATTTTCACAGATTTCGTTGTAACTTTATTCATGTTTTAAAATATTGGAATTTGAATTTGGGTAACTAGTTATTCGTTAAAATGGGAACATACACTCATTATTTTACTTTGATATTTTTGTATACTGGTAAGAAACATGTTAAATCGAAATCCTTGGATTCTTAGTAGATGTTTATGGCTTAATGCAACCATATCTAGATGGGTATTTCTAGGTATAAAGAAAGCAAAGCAAACAGAAACAACCGACTTATGTTGAATTTCAACATGTGAGTTATATTGTGGTGACCCAGGCTCTTGATATATATTAATTGATTTAAACTTCAGATTATCATCTCAGAATTCTTCCTCCCCCCACTGGTGAAGCCTTCATCCTTTGTTTCACGTGTTGCACAAGTGTTTGGGCTCCCTGTTTCAAATGTCACTCTCCAGTCTATTGTTCCACACTGTTGCTCATTTGGTCTTTGTGAAGTTCAAATCCCATCATTCTTCTTCCCAAAAAGTTTTCTTTGTTTCTATACTCCACAGGTTAACACCTATCTGGCAAACAACATTAGGCCCTCCTTGATCTGTCCTTGGCTCCTTGTCCGGCATCACTTCCTTTTTCAACTCTTTATCCTTCCTATTGCTTCTCTTATCCCTCCCTCTGGAGAACTGGACAAAAAAAGTGCCCCTCCTCCTTCTGACATCATTGCTTCTTAGCACAAACAACTCATTCCTCAGAAGTTAAACAAACAAGGGCACCTGGCTGGCCCAGTTGGTAGAGCTTGCAGTTCTTAATCTTGGGTATAGAGATTACTTAAAAATAAAATCTGTTAAAAAACAAACAAACAAACAAACAAAAAAACCCAACAACATATAATTTAAGAATAGTAGATAGGCCTTCAATCTGGAGTAGTTTACAGTACATTTGTTCCAGCCCAGACATCCCCCACGCCCCACCCTTGATTTTGTGAACACTGGGGAAATCTTTACCACAGGCTGGTCCTAGTTCACAGACTTGTGTTTTCGAACCTCTTGTATATGTAGTAAAATTGGCAGAAAGGCCAGATATATGAGGATGTGAATGAAGCAGGGAAATTTTTTTTTAAAAGGCTCTTTTTATTGAAATGGAGAGTATTGGGAGAGGATAGTTTTTAGAGAAAGCCATGAGCAGTGTGAGAGCAAAAAGAAAAAAAGAAAGCTAGTAATTATGAAAAGGAGGCTGACCTAAAGGAAGGCATTTTAATTGACCAGTGGAAGGGAGGGATGGGTTAGTCAAAGTAGAAATTAATTGGAAGATGAATAGCACATGGAAAAAGGGAGGAGACATGAAGCCCTCCTCCTGGATTGTTTAGTGACTACTTGGAGTGGATTCCCGATTATACCGAGACAGAGTGATATTGATTCATCTTGTGAATTCTGGTGCAAGCTATTCAAAGAGGAAAGAAAATTCTTTATACAGGTTTATTAGTAGTGAGATGACATTCCTTTAAGAAATATCATCCATGGCGACCCTGGGGAACTCAGCCATCTAATAAGCCTTTTGGCCTAAAAGTAATTTAACAATTCTGTATCTTTCTGGGTGACTGAAATTGCTAGACGTTCGATAGTCGTGAAATTTTGTTAACATTCTTGCTGTTGAATTGATTTTTAATGTTTATTTACAAAACCTCAAATGTGTGTCCAAAGCCTTGAATGCTTTCCCAGAGCTATCCATTGTACACTCCCTAGATATGAAATATCAATTTTACAGGCTAGCGAAATGGTATTTAATGGTGGCTGACAGGATAGTGTTTAAGGACAATATGTATTTGGATACTTAAATTTTTCTATTATCTGACTCTTGGCACAGACCATTGAATTTAAGTTGTACTGAGATTGCCGAAGATCTGGCTGCCTTAATAGCCCAAGCTATGCTGCATGTTTGTTTAGTTTCGGGATCTTCCTTTGCCTTTCTGCTTTCTAAGCATATAGAAAATAAAATAAAACAATTTTGGTTTCTGCCTTCACATCTACTTGCATTAGAACAAATGTTTAAAAAATGTGAGGGACATTTTCAGGACGCTTCCTGAAGCCTGGGGCATACCAGTTTTTTTTGTGATCTGTTGACATCAGGTTTGTTTGTTTGTTTCTCTAATATTTGCCTTCCTTGGTTATACTTGAAGACCAAAGGTTTTATCGTGTTTCACCTTAAAATTTTGAAGTTATTTGGTAAATCTACAGCTGTAAAGGATATTTTGTTTCATACCTATACATTTTATCTTGAATTTCTTTTTAAATTGATTACTGTATTTTAGGCATATGCAACGCCATCTTAATGACTCCTTGGATAATATACATTTTTCGATTAGATAAGTAAATGAAATCTTCTGAGTTACTGAGCATGACTCACTTAAAATCTCATTTGGAATGATTTCTCTTTCTACCCTTTGTTAACCATATGTCCTGCTGGTTTGTGGCACTGGGACTTTGCACAGGAGGTAAACCATGAAGTTTAGTTTTGTGGATAACAGCCCCTTCTCAATACAAAGACTGTGGATCTCTTTCCTTTTCGTTTTTCCTTTGATCTGTTTTTGGCTTCACTTTCATCCAATGCTGTAGGTTTCTTAGCTGTTTATTTTTTCTTAGAAAACTGTGAGCACATGAGTTAAACTGCAGGGAATTTTGGAGTGATTTAATGGATGTGAATTCCTATACATAACCCATATGGGTTGTCTGAATAAGAAGCCCCTTTATGATAGGCCCATATTTGCATATTTGCTTAGAGGATCTCCACTGTATCCTTGTGGTGGTGCCTGTGATACACACAGTGTAAGCTTCCCATCTTTGCCATGTATCCATCTGCTCATCGGAACACTTTCTACTTACTCCTCTGCCCTTGCCACTCATAATTCTTAAATTATAACCTCAGTGTGGAATGGGGAGGGAAAATATCTGGTAGCATTGAAGACTATATAAACCTGTTGAGGAAATGGGATGAAAAGGAAGCAAAGCCATCATTGTTTTCTTAATCCCTTATATCCTCTCTCCTCTTGAACATTTTTTTTTACTGGTGCTAAATTAAGTAATGATAATTTGTTAAATGTATGAGGATACAGTTTAAAGGCATTAGAAGTAGGAAGAGAGAAAGTATGTAGCTCCCCACTGTAATGTTCCTGGAATACTGCAAATAAAAATGACTATTGGTAAATCAATTTATGCTTTAGAAGCAATGGGAAAATACCTTTGTAAAGAAATGATTTTTAAAGTTTCTGTGTAGGGGCGCCTGGGTGGCTCAGTCGGTTAAGCGTCCGACTTCAGCCAGGTCACGATCTCGCGGTCCGTGAGTTCGAGCCCCGCGTCAGGCTCTGGGCTGATGGCTCGGAGCCTGGACCTGTTTCCGATTCTGTGTCTCCCTCTCTCTCTGCCCCTCCCCTGTTCATGCTCTGTCTCTCTCTGTCCCAAAAATAAATAAAAAAACGTTGAAAAAAATTAAAAAGAAAATAATAAAGTTTCTGTGTAGAGAGAAGAATCTTTTTATAATGCAAATAATCACTGTAGCATTTTTTCCCCCTGTTGGGCTAGCTATATATATATATATATATATGTGTATATATATACATATATATATATATATATATTTTTTTTTTTTTTCCCCTCCTGTAAGTTTCAATCTGTGCTACTTGATTTCAGTTTGGGTTGATCAACTAAATGTTTGTGGATCGATAAAGAAAATAGGACAAAGTGATGTGATTTACTAAGTTTGAACACATCACTATTTGGAGATTCAGTCTATGTTCTTTGAAAATAATCCCAGGCAAAAACTTTATTGCTAAAACCTAAATTTATCTTATTATTATTTTTTAATGTTTTATTTTATTTTGAGAGAGCGTCAATGGGGGAGGGACAGAGAGAAGGGGTACAGAAAATCCAAAGCAGGCTCTGCGCTGACAGCAGAGAGCCCGATGTGGGGTTGGAACTGAGGAACCGTGAGATCGTGACTTGAGCCGAAGTGGGATGCTTAACAGGTTAAATCACCCAGGTAACCCGCTAATACCTACAATTTAAATATTTCCTGTGGATTAAGCCCCACTAAATTGTGTCTCATCTGTTCAAAATCCATGTAGATGGGTTCCTATTTTATATTTAAATTCTGATTTTGCAGTTTGACTAGAACTTCTAGAAAAGGTTGGACAGATTTGAGGGGACAGTGGAGGTACTAAGGTTGTAGGTGATAATGATTGTGGTGAGGGGTGGGGCACAGTTTCCTGTCACTGACTCATCAGTGCCTGGTTCTCTCTGGTATTTCTAGTATTGGACAGAGTTGACTTTGGATTTTTAAGGGTGTATGGCTTTGTTGACAGGGATATTGGTTATTCATTTGAGTTCTTCTATTGATTAGTGTTGATATTTTAATTTCTTACAAGTGTTTCTTATCTGCTTGCAGATAAGAAGGCATCTCTACTTTTGAAATTTGTTTCTTTTCTCTCTGTTCTTCCTGTCCTGCCTCCCTAGCTCCCAATTTGGATTAAAACTTAAACAGCCTAGGCCTGGAAGACAGAAGACATTTACACAGTTGCAGATTTATTATCTTTGGATTTTTAAAAATTAGCTTTTTAAAGGTTCCCTTTACATTTTTTAAGTTTCCAAGTAGTGCCCATATCTCTGCAGACTGAAGGAGGGGAAGGCAAAGGAGTTACACTCATCAAAACATTTTCTGAACAAATCTGTCTTCTGTTTCCTTCCATGACCTGATTTAATGAAGATATTTTCACCTCAGAGGACCATCTCAGGAGTACCATATAGTGTCATTATTAGGTGAATGGGTGTGGGTTTTGCCCTTGCTTAAATGGGAGTGTTACATCATGGCATATTTTCAAGGAGTCATAGGGAATTGACCCATTTTATCTAACAGTTAACACACTGATGGGCATTGATAGCTAGAAGGAACATCATTTAGATCCAGCCACTTCCCCGCCCCAGAGGAGGAAATTGAAGCCCAGAGAGATTAAGTAATTTTATTCAACAAACATTAATTGAGCATGCACCATATGTTAGACCCAGTACTAGGTGCTGGGGGCTACAGCGATGAGTAAGTAAGTGTAAGTCCCTCTTGGAGATAAATACATAGTGCTTAGATCATACAGTTTGTAATTAGCAGGTCAGGAAGTAGAATATTTATGAATCCTTCATATTCAATCAAGTCTTTCTATATTAATATGATAAAAAAATAATGTCATCCTTCTGTTCATTCTTCTACTTTCATTAAATCCTTTAATAAAGATTTTCATTTATTTATTTTTAGAACAAAGTTCAGCATTCTCTCTTTGACATCAATACTGCTTAGCTCCCACTCTTTCTTGAAAGATTAGCGTACAGTAACCATCTACATTTATTCAAGCCCCTAAAATCGGACCAAAAGTACTCCAGCTGAAGTCATTGCCGTGTCTAGTTTTTATCTTGACGCATGTATTGTCCTATCTTCTTAAAACTTTCCATTGGGTTATTGATGCCCTGATTGTCCTACCTCTTTTCCTTTTTAATTTCCCTTAGAGTTTCATCTGCCCACTTCTTATTCCCCAAATGGGCCATATGTTTGCAGAACTTCTAGAAACTGGTCATTCTTCAAGAGTTAGGGTTCTTGAGGAGAGGTTATTCTAGCTGTCTGACCTTTTTAAGATTTTAGGTACTTCCATCTCTTTTCATACCACCTGTTTCCCAATCCTGTAATGTTATGCTTTGCATACCAAGTTTTCTTTGATTTTTTTCTCAAGAACTGGGACCATTTTCTCCAGAGACTGGCACGTGATAATGATTTTTAAAAACGTAGTTTATTGCAGAATGATTTCTCCCTGGCTCAGGCCACCCCTCCCTTCCTCCAGCAGTCCGTCCCTCTGTTTCTCTTTTCAGCTCTCTGCTGGGCTCTATGAGCTGTGTTGCTGCCAGGAAACAGCTTGTGGTGGTTCTCTGTTAATGGTGGATTTATAGTTTTATGAATTGCCAGTATATTAAGTAAGAAGCTTAAACACAACCCTTAGTTACACTCAAATCGATTGGCAAACCTTTTTTAAAAATTCATAAATTATACGTGCATAAACTTGAGCCTTCATCTGTCTGATTAAATCTGCATTCGTAATTAGTGTGAGACAAACGAAATTTTTTACAGCTAAAAGAAGGGTGTTTCCATTTCTCACTATGGTTGAGAATATCCTACATGATGGTATTTTTTCCATACGTAATTATAACCTAAACATTTATGGTACATTTGTCCTGGGCAGCACTCCATCCTACAAAGGACAGTTTCTGTCCTTAAGGAAATACAGTGTACTGTAATTTAAAAAAAAAGTATGCAGATTGATTTTCCCCATTGCCTTGTTAATGTGGCCATGATAGTTCTTTTGGGCCTGTTATCAAGCTGATCCATTTGCTGAGTTAGAGTATTTTTCTCTTGCTCCTCCACTTTGTTTGGGTTGCTGACCCTTCATCCTTTGCTCTACGCTTGTCCTTGATTAAAATTAGATCAATAAAGCTAAATCAAGGTAAAAAGTGGAATTTCCTCAGGAGTATAAGGGATCATATATTACAATTAAACTGTTCAGAAGGAAATATTAGATGGTTTTTTGTTTTATTTTTACTTACAACCTTTTAAACTCAATGGGTTATTCCTTGTAGTTTGAAAGTATGGAGAGAGGTGAAATGGATCTTTCAGCTGGTGTTTCTGAATTTTTTGTTTTGTTTTGTTTTCCTGTAACCTCCTAGTCTTGGGTTGTGTTCAAATCTCAAAGATTTATTAGGTGAACATTCTGTAGCTAAGTGGCAAGATGTTCTGGCTTCTCATTAGCGGTGACCCTGGGTAGTTTTCTCATATTCAGCAACATTTGTTAGGAGCCACCCAGCATTCTTGTCACCGAGTGGTGAGGCCGAGCTGGAGTTCTGGGTGAGGAGGTCACCTTGCATATATCTCTCTAGGTTGGGGGGCGGGGGGAGTGCTTTGTAGGGAATGCTCAGGCTAATTGTGATTTCCCTCTTCTTTTTGTACATGAACTCTACTCTTACAGGACAAAATGCTTAGTGGTTGGAAGAAGGAAAATGGCTTTTTCTCCTTCCCTAAAGAAGGAGGAGCATACGGGGTCCTTATGCCTTGTAATAGGATCCAGTAGCTATGCATTGTGGAATCAGAGTTCAGCTTTTGCCCCTGGCATTTTCCACTGGTGGGACCTAGGGTGTAAATTACACTGAGCCTCATTCCCTTACTCTGTTGAATTGTTTTTGAGGATTAAATACAGTTGCTTTAAAAAGGTGAGTATTGGGGCGCCTGGGTGGTGCAGTCGGTTAAGCGTCCGACTTCAGCCAGGTCACGATCTTGCGGTCCGTGAGTTCGAGCCCCGCGTCAGGCTCTGGGCTGATGGCTCGGAGACTGGAGCCTGTTTCTGATTCTGTGTCTCCCTCTCTCTCTGCCCCTCCCCCGTTCATGCTCTGTCTCTCTCTGTTCCAAAAATAAATAAACGTTGAAAAAAAAATTAAAAAAAAAAAAAAGGTGAGTATGATGCGGTTTTAACCTGGAGTTATAACCTATGAGATATAAGAAGTCTATGTACTGACTTGGGAGAGATGTGCCATGAAAAAAAAAGAATATTTGGTTAGAGAGCTCAGAAAAGGTTTCCTGATAGGGGTGGATGGCATTTGAACATGGCCTTTCAGAATTTTTGTCATTTTAGTAAGATTCTTTTTTTATTTTTTTATTTTTTAAAATATTCATTTATTGTTGAGAGACAGAGTGTGAGCAGGGAAGGGGCAGAGAGAGAGGGAGACACAGAATCTGAAGCAAATTCCAGGCTCTGGGCTGTCAGCACAGAGCCTGATGTGGGGCTCGAACTCAGGAACTGTGAGATTGTGACCTGAGCTGAAGTCAGATGCTTAACCAACTGAGCCACCCAGGTGCCCCTGTAAGCAGATTCTTTAGTGCTGAGATAGCAGTCCCATCCAGGCAGAGGATATAAAAAGAGGAAGAGAAGACTCTATTGTGGTTCTTGTTCAGGAAGGAAACAGTTTGGGATATAGTTGTTGGGATGAGAACTGGGCTAACATGTTTGATTATACCCATAAATAGTGACCCAGTAATCTCTCTCTCTTTTTTTTTTTTTTTTGTTCCCCTAACCAGAGATCTGGATTCATATGTAAACTCTCATGTTAACTTGGAATTTGATAGCATGCTGGTGTTTCTCCCAGATTATAGAAATCAGTCTGTTGCCTTGAATGAGCTCTAGTTTTTTCTTGTGGTAAAAAACCCCTGACTTAACATTTACCATCTTCTATATTTTTTAAGGGTACAAGTCAGAAGGGTTAAGTATATTCACATTGTTGGGGGACAGATCTCTAGAAATTAATTTTGTAGAATTGAAGCTCTATGCCCATTAAATAATTTTCCCCCTTTCCCCTCAGGTCCCTGGTAACCAGTGAGCTCCACTTTTTTTTTTTTTTTTTTTGGGCTGATGACATGAGAGAAGTTTCTAGAATCCATTCAGTAACCTTCTATGATAAAATCTATAATGTCAAATCTGGTGTTATTTTTCTCATTCTTCTATCTTGCTATAGAAATATGACATGTTGTTGGTGTTCTATGCCTGTGAGTCTGGCCATGCCTACTAGCCCTCACTTTATTCCATTCCTCTTTGTGCTGTAGCAACCACCTTGATACACTGAAGGTTTTTACTTTTGCATCTTTACTTACCATGATCCCAACGCATGAAACCATGAATGTAGCCTTGCCGTAGTTGAGCTTTTTAAGATCACAGGAGGATTCACTATACAGAAGAGCATTTAACAACATATCAGGTAGAGAAAGGTTTAGGGTACATTGTTCTCATTGCTTAAATTTTATGTTAACTTCATGGATTAGGCATGTACTGGCTTAGAAATCTCTTTAGTGTACTGTTTGTGTTACCAGCTAAATCTTTCAAGCATTTCTCTCCATCATCTGTTTTAACAATGGAAGCCTTTCTTGTGCACCCCTTCCATTTTTCTTGTTTTTTTACATTGTAGATGGTCCTGATATGTGGGCACTGCCAGGTGCCAGTAGTCTAGAACAGGTCAGAGACAGTATTCCCTGGGGAAAGTGTTGGTTAAAGAGACTGGAACTATCTGGTGTTTGCACGTTTCTTTGTCCAGTTATATAGTGAAGAGGCTTTTGGCCATTGTCTTAGGGAATGGAAACCATACCAGTTATTTTAGCAGATAAACCTGATATAAGAAATTATTAATCAGGTATGAGAATACTAAAACGGCAGAAAGAGAGCACGAAGGCTCACATAGTGGTTGGTGTTCATTATAAGATGCACCTACCACCTGTAGGGCTGGGAGGACAAATAAGAGACCAGAATATGAAAACTTAGAAATTTGAAGGATGGACCCATTGGAAGGGGGACACAGTCCTCTGTTGAGCTGAGGTTTGTGTCTCTAAACTTGAAGGAGAAACACCACGGAGCTGGGACCCAGCTCTGCCAGGAGGGGCTGCCAGTTGATCGGTTCTGGAGAATGTGAGGAGGTGTGCTGAGACTTCTTCTGGGAGCGTTGGGAAAACCGTAAGCTGGAATCAGTTACTGCCACTGGAACAGACCACCATTGCTGAGAGGAGGAAGTGTGGCTCTGGAGTAGCCGACAGGAATAGGAAAGAGTTTGTCCCTTCTTCCTGTCCATTCTCCTGCTAACATCCCCTACTGGCAGAGCCTAACAGGGAACCAGCTGGCAAAAGCAGAAACGTGCTTTGGCAGTTTTCCCATCTCAGCATCACAAAGTGGAATTTAAAAAAGGTTAGATTTAAAACTGAGTGACAGTAGGTTCGTAACTGGCACAAATAGTGCATCCAACTTCCTTAATCTCGATGAGCTTCCCGGGAGCTGGTGGCTTTGGGTGGGCATGCAGTACATGTTGAAATTAATTGACCTTTTCAGGTCTGTGGGGGATTGAGTGTGGAACCAGATGGGAGCGAAAAGCCTGTGGGTAACCTGTCAGTCTTGCCACCTCACTGGTATCGAGGCAGATGAAAGACAGGAAGTAGTATGGGCTCTGGGGCCAGACAGCTCTTTTTTGGGATCTTCTGCTCTGACGTGTGTTGTCTTGGGCATGTTTTTCCTCTGGGTGTCTAACCTCTCAGTTGAGCAAAGCTAGTAATTCCAGTTTAATTGGTTGCTGTGGGGATTGGAAACGAGTTTTAAAGTACCAAGCACACAGTAGGCACTCACATCTTTGGGATGTTTATTTTTCTTTTTAACAAAGTGTTGTAGAAATTCTGGAGTGGAGCCAGCCCCTTGTGTTGGGGAGTGAAGTCAGAAGGTCAGCACTAGGAACCGCATGTGGTGGTCACAATGGGATGGTGATGTGATTGACATAAAAATGTTGTTAAATAGGCACAGTTAAAGTTTCATTTATCAATTTAGAGTGACATTACATAATACAGGAGCTTAAACTGCATTCTCAGTGACCAAGATACCAGCCTCGGATCCACGACACAAATGGCCATGGATGACAACTACTGTTGCAGACAGAGTGGGAGGCTCCCCACCCACACCCTCTTTTACCTGACTCTTCTGGGGATCTGGTCACTTGCCTGTTTGTTCATCAGGTGCAAATGGCTGGTACAGAATAACCTCAACCCCTTCCTGACTGTGTTAATTCCAGATTGGGTGAAAGTACAGTCTCTTTCCTAGCAGCAGCCTCTAGAGGTCTGGATTCCATTTTGTCAAGGTCTCCTCCTGCGGTAGGGCAAGGTATAATGTCTACATAAAGAAATTGCCTTGCCAGTTTGGGGCTGGACATGCATGTCTGTGCTGTTCATAGGGCTGGGAACTTGATTTGTCCATATTTCTCCATGGTGGTAGTGGGTGATAAATGTTGTAGTTTTCTGATTGATGACAGGTAGACCAGAGAGTAAAAGAGAGTCATCTTCATTCTGTAGGGTTAGAATGATATCTGTCCTGAAAAGTCACAGGCCTCATTTTAGTGAATGAAACCCAGACTGAGAGTACTTTGAATTTGGTGGATAAAATATGTGGCACTAGACCTGACAGCCTGATTTAGACCTTGGAGTGATGCAACTGGCAAGTCAGAAACTCAGTGTCTAAAGGGAGACCTTAAGCTGCTCACTTACATAATTCAGTCTGGGGTTTTGAAATGCACCACAATTTATTGCACAAATTTGACTGGAAATCTGGCTCAATGGAAGGTTCCACTGGCACTAGCTAAATAATGGTGTCCTATCCAGCATCATTTTCCCTCTGTGTTGTTCCAGGAAGAAACTTTAATAATTATTTTTTAATATGGTGAAGAAGGAAAGGCATTCACAAAGAAACCTTTCTCTAACAAAAAATTATCTTCTGACTGGGCTTCCCTAATCGTGTGGTCTGTTACAGAGAAAATTGGTTTCCTATTGTAAGAGATTTATTTTCTTTTCCTCCTTTTCCTTCCTCCTCTTCTAGAACTGTGGGAGGGCTTGTGGCACATCACCGTGCTGGATGGGTTTCATCTGGCATGTAGCCTGTACTTTAAGTAACGGGGTTGTCTCTTCGGAGGGCATCGGCTCTCCATTTTTAGCCTGGGATGAAGGGTAAGAAATGTGGGAGAAGATTTCTCCATTACTAGAAAACATGATTTGGGGCCAACTGGTTAATTATGAGCTTCCAGTGAAAAGGAAAGCAGTTCCAGAAGGGAAGAGCCAGTTGTGATATACCGGTCCCTGCTGGTTTCCATTACCTCGTAGACCTCCAGGCCTGCTTTTGTCCTTGAAGATTCTTTCTCCCTGCTCCATTTTCCCTTCTGCCTTTAAACTCTGGTTTCTTATTTGCAGACGTTTTGTGTTCCTTCCATTGAAGGGGTTTCCCATGTTAACATTGATTCATGTTTGTAATCGATCTTCAGAACTACTAGCTCAGTAGAAAGAGGCCCTGCTAGAGAGTCACTGATTATTTTTTATTTCCTCCCAGCTCCATTTGCTCATTTGAACAGCACACAGAATGCATCATTCAGCATAACTTTGCACCTGTTAGGATTGTTGCACATCAGTCTCCAGAACACAGGAAGGGCCCTGCGGTCTTCCTGGGCGTTCTCTTTTCTTCTGTCTCAACCATCACAAAGCCCACCCCAGCACATGCCCTTGCCTAGGCTTAAGTTTAATCTCAAATGTATGAATTTGGGGCGGGACACTGGTGCTTTCGATTCCACATTAGGAAATCTGCTTTTATATTGTAAGTTTACCATCAATTATTTTTGTGTTGAGCTGCCACACTTGATATTTTAAAAATATCAGTTCAGTTTTACTTAAATTCTGAATGGTACTGTAGGTGTGCTCTGATTTCTCGTAACCATTAGCTAATGATCCAGTGTATTCTTTTACCCACAAAGATTGTAAGTAATAGAATTCATTGTGTCACACATGCAGAGAGAACAGAAGAATGCTTTAAATTCTTAGCCAAGTCAAAAGAGGGCAGACTGATTTTGGATTTTGTATATTTGTTTTTTTCTAACATTACACGCTGCGAATTAGAGTATTACTTTTGCATTACTGCTTACAGAGAGCCTAGATTTTATATTTGTACAGTGAGATATCTAGCCTGGAACATTTTTAATCATTATTCA